GTTTCCTCTTCCCTTTCTGTATTTTTGCCCTTTTGTCCAAGTACATATACATTGTTAATGTTTGTAAACAAATTTCGATTTCCGTTGATTCAATTTTTTTGTCATTTTAATTTTAACCCTTTTAGAATGTATTATTGATCATAATATCCCTGTTTACTCCAAGGCTTTGTAGAAATTTAAAGCTTTTATCTTTTTAATACCCTTTTCTTTTGTAATTGTACATATTATTGTATATTTATTTGTTTTAATGTACATGTAAATTGTATTCACAATTCTGCCCCAGGCGGCGAGGAATTCAGTTAAAATAAATAAACCATTCAAAATAATAATTCATAATAATAAACTCACATGAAGAATAGTACATGTACTAAACTAAAGCTACCTGGCTATATGCTTGCCACCTCTACTGAGAATGACATTCATGGGATTGCCACTTTTGTGGGAAATACGGCCAAGTGGAATGGGCAATGACTCAAATTGAAGGTGTCACTGTCACCAACATGTACATGTACATGTATTAGCCACCTTCATTATGACTCAGTGTAGACACTATCCTGCGAACTATGCTCAGAAGTAGTTCCAGTTTATAGCGTCCCTGGGTGCTTCAAGTCACTGGCTTCAAACCACAGGCTTCAAGCACCATGAATTCAGACAATAATTACAACCTGTTCCTGCTTGACCCGGTTGCAAGAAATACCAGTGCCCAGCACAGCCCTCCTCATCCAATCACTGTCATAACAAGCATTCCAGACAAGAGCATTTTTTTCTCCAAATGCTGTGAGAAAAGAGTCTGGGTGATAGACTTATGTTGCATAGGGGACACACTTATCAGGGGAGACAACTTTACTGTTGGGCATGGGGACAAAGTTACCTGGAGGGGAACAGATAAATGTAAGTAAATGTGTGCCCCCGGGGTGCAATCAGGTAAAAGTGTCTGGGGGACAGTTTTACCTGTTACACTGGCTAGGCCCATCTGTGCAGGCGTGGCATACATAGTGTGGACCTCTGCACAAAAAGAAGTCCACATACATGTAGTGTAGGGTGTGATAGTGTAGTGTTGACTTGCACACGTCCACACAATGTTTCCCCCTCTCTGAAAAAGAGTTTCAGAGGCAATTTGGGGTCAAGGTTATCTGTGGCAAAAACAGGAAGAGGAACAGTCCAGGAAATCATCATCAAAAATCCAGCTCGAAGGAGTTTTCCTTGTTGGAGAAAAAAGAACATTTTCCTCAAGTTTCCTTAACCACAGGAGAACACAGGAATGTCCACACTTGGTAGGTAAAACAGGTATGGGTGTATGTACTTGCGCAATATTAAAATACAATTTTACATATACATGTAAATTACATGTATGTGCACGCTCTTGCACTGCGTGTATGCCTGATTGTAGAAAGCTGTTAGGCAGATTCATTATTGCCTAGCCATGGAGTTACAGTTGAAATGACACTGTATCAGGGTTACCGGAAGAGGAATTTTTTTGTTTTGATTGGCTTTGTTTGGTTTTGAGGCGAGGGTAGTGGAGCAAAGGTAAACAAACATTTTGTATGACAAAAAGTACGTATGTGGAGAAAATGTGGTACACAGTGCTAAAAACTCATGTGCCGTGCTTTCAGATTTAACTTTTTAAGGGCAAAGGTTCAGTAATCCGAGACTTACTGAATAAGCTGCTCATTTACACGTATACAATTTCTTCATGTACACATGTAGGAGGACAGACCACAACCAGTGAAACTCTACATACATGTCAGACAGAGACAAGATTCATGTACCTTGTTTTTGCCAACTTTGGAAGGAAGCAGTGCTGATCAGGCTTTAACAACTCTGCTTGACTTTGGTAGTAACCTCACTCATCTTAGCTCTGCACAAACAGGTAATGTCTTCTGTATCTATTGTGAAGTGACTTATAAAATGCTATAATGTTGGCATTGCATACTGCGGCCAAAAAGATACGGTAATATAGTGCTGCAGTCAAGCTGCCGAATTGATCCAGCGTAGCTGAACATCATGCATTTCTGAACTAGACCAAACTGAACCAAGCTATATGGTCTGTTAAGATGTTCTGCCCTGTCAACATACATGTACATACTTTTGATCATGCACTCACACAGGACTTTTCCCAGTTTCAGATGGTTTTTAAATAAAAATTCACTTTTTGTATTGTTCTCCATTCAAATACATTCTATGATGTGTTATGTTTTGGAAGCTAAAATGTAAACTTCTGTCTCACAAATTTTCCCAGAAAATTTCTAGAAAAGGTATTTTGGCCAGATTTTCTATTTGCATTGTTACATTTTTTGACAGTTTGTCAAATATTACTGAATCCAACAAAATTGACAAATGATCATAAGTGGTTTGTATGAAGGTCATTCACCAAGTGTGAATCCAAATTCTTTTTCATTTTTGACAGTCATAAACTCTTGCATCAAATATCTGTTGAGTAAAAATGACTTTAGGAGTCTTCATTTCATGCCTGTTACTGAAAACTAGAACATATTTTGTTCTCAGGGAATTTCAGGCTATTCATGGTGAAAGACAGTAATAAGTGGAAAGCAAAGATCGTATAGTGCTGCGTAGTGGCACAAGATGGAGAACTTCACCGTGAACACTAGGCTTAGGCGGTATTGCCTTTTTCGATCCATGAAAAAAATACCACGATATAAGTAACGTTAAATAGTAAATATTTGTTGCAGAAGGCAATGACGTCATCAAAAAGGAGCGGCGATGCTGACATTCAATGGCAAAACACAAACAACACTACGGACCAGCATAAAGGGTTTTTAACATCACAAAAACCCCTAAACTTAATAACTATTATAATTTATCTGTCCATTTGATGTGAAATAAAAATTATTTATGTGAAAGAATTTTTAAAAAAAGGGACAGTGTTTTAAATACCGATTTGTTGCTACGCGATTCCTACATGTATATCTGTGTGGTCACTCGTACGGTGAGACAGTGCATTATTGTAATGATTACGTGCGGATCACCATTGGCTGCTCCTTTTAGCTGCGCCCTAACACTGCGCTTGTGCAATGGTAAGGTGGCTTTCAGAAAACTCTGCGACGCGGCAGTCGATTCTTGTTATTACAAATTTGGTTGTAACGACATTCAGATTAAAACAAGCACAAATCTGTGGTCCCGGTGAAAATGTGCACATTTCTATGGGGAGAAAATATGTTATAGCGAAATAGCATTGTACGAAATTCCTGGTACAACGAAAGGTTTTTGTGACTCCGTTGCCTGAAAAACCATTATTGACGACCCATTCATAGAGCGTTTGTGAATCGCGGTGGTGAAAACACTGCGGGATGCACCACACTGGTTCCCGCTGGGTCGAACTGTTGCCAATGAAGGCATGATGGAAATGCGACTACCAGTCAATGTACAGGTTCTGCCAAAGAAGGACCATACATGTACATGTACATTCCACTACATCGAATGCAGCTCTATAGTTGCAAGTCGAAAAAACACTGCTGTCACAAATTTTTCTGCAGTTTCATTCACAAAAATTGATCTCATGTCTATGTTTGTGTTTTCTGTGTTGATGAATTGAATTTTAGGTTGTACTGCTTGTACTCAAGCGAGCGTGCTTCCACAAAATGTCCAGTTGCGCAACACAAGGCTTATCGCCCACCCTTCCTTATGCGTCATGCATGCTTACAACGCGATATACAGAAATCGTTTGCCATATTCCTGTCATGACACGTGTAGTGCACGATTAAAAAATCAATGATATTTTACATTGATTACACAAACACCAAAACAAAATTTCCATCCCATTTCGGATAAAATACAAGTACGCCCCAAATAAGTTCGCATGACTATTCTCGTATCTCAAGAGTCTAACTAATTGCCCAACACTGAATTATTCATATTGCTGCAAAAGGATCTAGCATGCCTGCCAATGAGACTGTTTTCATGTACATTTGGCAAGACACAGCTATCCAATCGCAATATTTGTTCATGACATCATGCTTCTTCAGGGACCATCTCGCGCGCGCATGATGGCTGCATGCTGAAGTACCGGTATCACGTTACGTCATATCTGCTCACCAAAAGAGACAAGACAAACAAGATTGTTAGTAGGTATTGCTCTGTATTAGAAAAATACCGAAATACTGCCCAAGCCAAGCGAACACACGTATAAAACATTGTTAAATCATCGGTGCCATTTCAGCAAGTGATACGCCTGCACAATGCACATTAATGCACAGGTGCTGCAGCAGACATGTACACCTGGTGCACCTGCGCATTACTGTGTGCATTATCGCTTGCTCAAATGGAGCCATGGTGATTACACCTTTTGGGCAGAGTTATCGAACTTGTGCCTTTGGTGCGCTACGATCTTTGGTGGAAAGGTTTGCGGTAGCACCATGCAAAGGAAAAATTTATGAGTGTGTGGGCAGTTCCACGGTGTTGGATGTACATTTTGGACACTTCAACAGTGTGTGTTGTTATACTTATAATCCTGAAGCAGATTTTGATTTTGATAAAAGACATCAGCTAGTTGGTACATTCATTTAATAACAAAATTCCTCACTCAGAATTAGTATCCCTGTAGAAACTGACTCATACATGTACATGTAACACCATGGTGTCGGACGTACATGTACATGTACACTGTACTCAGAGAAAGTTAATTTTTTCAATTTTCATTTGTGTATCACAAACTCTGTGAAATGCTAGGACTTGAAGAAGTAGTTTTCCTGTGTTTAGTTTAAGCAGACCCTTGTTAATAAACTTCAGGGCAAGACACATTTTTATCTTGTTGTGACTTTCAGATAAAGCATTTATTATATTGGTGTCGGACATACATTTTTTTGTGTCAGACGTACACGTCCAAACTGACTTTTCAGAGTAGAAGGTAATCAGTTCAAACCCAAGCTTGTCTCATTTTTCTACCTTCATGAAGGCTCTTGTAAACTTTCCAAACCAAAAGAAAATGCCAAGCCATACAAAAATCATCAAAATCAACTACATGTAGATAAGAATTGGATGATGGGGCATTCAATGAAACAGTATGAAGGAAAATATTGTTTAGAAGTATTTATGCAAATTTTGCTCATTTAAACAAGTCATGTACCGTCAAACATTCAATTTAAAAAAACAAAAGTTTTCTACAGTTGACAATCCTTTAGATAAATAAATCAAATTAAAAGACAATTGCATACATGTACCGGTAAGATCTTTTGGTCTTAGAACATGAAATTAAACATTTTTGTATGCAAATGCTGCTTGTGTACTAAGCTGCAATTTTAAAGATTTCCAGTTCACACCTCACAGGTTCTAGTACACGTGTAAAATCCAAAAAGAAGCTAAATGATACACCCTTTTAGATGATTGCAAAATCAAAGGAATGGGCTAGCAATTAGGCTGAGAGATTATCCTTTTCACTGAAATTTAAGACTAATGGCATAATGCTTTTAAACTAGTCTTACATTGTATGTTTCATGATAGATATTGTACATATATATGCCATGGAAAGCATGTAAGTGGAACACCTCCTTTAATTCCTCAAGCAACACAAAGTGAAACCATGATTTGGACCCTTTGGGCCCTAGTCATAACCTTATTAGGATGTGTATGTCCAAATAGTCAAATTTATGCAAATTAGTAAAAAACAAAAGTGAAGCCTATTTGGTACTTTTACAAAAGGTTCCATGTATGCAAATGAGGTGGTAGTGGTTTCTATACAGTGTAAAAGCATTGTATTGCCATCAATGCATGGTTCTGACAGTATCGGACGTACAGGGTGTCGGATGTGCACATCTGATTCCAAAATTTTTGAGTATTTGCTGATTTGAAAAAATAATTGGGGGAGTTAAGCCGATGTCTAGAAAGAAGGAACTCATTGTGCTTTGTATTAAAAATTTGGCAATCTTTTGCTAAAGGATGCACAGAGGGAATAAAAAACTATGTCATTTTGGCAGTGTTGTAGTCGAGTACTTTCCGAGTACCAACATTCTCCGCAAAATACTGAACTGGGT